GAAAACATACCTTGTCCAGACCTCCGATTCCCAGCTTGGTGAAGTCCCAGTCCCTGCTGATAATGGACTGTGTGGCAGCTTTTCTGAGAGGTAAAAATCAAAAGCCACACTGTCCTGACTTGTTTGATGCAAGTCCTAAAAAAATTGTTTATCAACCTGCATCATTTCACGGTTTGGTGCATGTCTGTATTTTTTATTCGCCTGTGCATGCTTTTTGGCGCAGGCCCAGTTTTTCCTTGTTTATGAACCAATCGTAAGCAAGTTACCTAATTTCGCATGCACATAGCCATAAAATCATCAACTGTAGAATATATCGTTTGGGTCAAAACTAAATTCAATGATTGACAGTGTCATTAAAATCCACTGAAATCTTCTGAGAATTTGGGTCATCCGTCATTCTGCCACGACTAACTACAGGTATAGCATGTCAAATGTTACTGCACTACATCTGAGTGGGGTTTTTAAAGTGACAACAATGATAAGAAGCAAACAAAAGCATTTTGATTAAGAGACATGCACCAAACCGTGAAACCCTCCCGCTAAAGAATACTGCCTTTGCTTGTGTAAATTTACAAATACACTTACTATTGCCCCAGACATCCTTTGAAATGTCTTCAGGCCATTTCAAGCACATTTTTTGTTGTTTTGTTTTGTTAACCTAGGTTAAAAAAAATCACTCTTGAGGGAGCGGGGGAGGGGGGGATTGAAGCTTACATCAAGAGTAAAGTCCTGAAGACAACTTTTTATATGCAATCACTGCAGCTGCTGTGTTTCCCTACTAGACAGAAGTTTTACGCCAACTAATTAAAGTCCATGTACAAACAGTCTGTGGCATTCACATTAATAATTTATACCAAAATAATTAAGTCAACACTAGTCTACTAAGCTTACCCTTTAGCAGTGCCTGTTAGGTTTAACACTGAACCCTAGCACAGAAAAACAAAGAAACAAGAAAACAAGACATTAAATTACATGTACATGTATATATGCCTTATGCATCAGGCATGAAAGAGGAAATAAATAACAATTCAAAACAAATTAGAAATAATTAATATTCAGTTCATGTTCCTTTAAATACCTCTGCCCTTTCAAACAGAACTTGGGTGTTCCTTGTAACCATACCAATAGAAACCTAAAACAATAACCATACTTCAGGATCAAACTCCTCAGGATAAATACTGACGTAGTAGATCACAAGTAGCAAAACCACATTCACAACTATTACAAGTATACAATTAGTACTTGTACTTGATATATCACACTCAAAGCATACATTTGTTCCTTGAGAAGCCTTGCTCTTTGCACCACCAAGAAGACTAACATCAATAACTACAAAAAAGAGAAAAGTTCAGTGTCTGAGTATAAGTGCCTGTGACACAATGTACTGCCAGCCACCTTCTACCAGCCCCATCCAAACAAGCCCATCCCTCTCGTCTCCCTCAAATATAACATACAGTCTGATAAAAAAACCTACCGTAAAATCCCACATTAATGTTCCCCCAGTTATAAGCCCTTCTATTTGCTAACAAAGATATCATTCCGGATATAAGTCCCCTTTGGGTATAAGCCCACCTAATGTATAAGTGCAATAAATGTATTATAAAACGTAATAGCTCTAATGTTATGGTATGTTACATGTAGCTTTAATTCATTTCTAAGAAACGTTTTATCTCTTCCTTACAAACCTTTTTTTTCACTTATACTGCTAGGATCAACACTATCGAAGTCATCAAGAGTAGTGATAAATTAATAAAGATGGTGAATTTACTCATGATGACATCAATAGCGTTGATCCTAGCAGTATGCAGGACACCTGTCATATATGAACTCAGTTAAATGGCCTCGCTCTATTATGGTACAAAGTGTATGGCATTCACTTTCGCTCAGAAATAATCTGTTCGTCCTACCAAATAACGGCAATCATCCTTTGAGTGAAGCCATTTGGCTGTGAGAAACTAAATAAAAGAGATTTTAAACTCCTTAGCCGATGTTTCTTTCAACTTTGTATTTCGCTTTACTCGCTAAACTTAAAATTTGGCAGACCACCGAGACGTACTCTCCCCAGAACATTTCAGTCACAGCAGCCGTAGTAGCACCAGCTGTAATGATTTGCTTAAACTCCCTATTTTTAGTTAATTGGTACTTACATGTAAAGACCAAGGGGTGTATACGGCTGAAACTTCTTGTATGGAGAGAATCTCTGCTCATATTAAGAATGTGTGCATAAATCAGCTCTGTAGTGATAAGGTTTGAGGTTATGCTACCGCTTTTCGGGTGCAAAAACTTCTCAGGACTTTCGAGAAACGGGCCCAGTGTTTTAACATGGGATTTTACGGTGTGCGGCAATAAGCACCCACCCTCTCAGTACATGACTTATAAGCCAGTAAGCTTGTACCTGTACAGGTGCAGTGAGATGTACAGTGTATATATTTTTACAATACACATACACTGTACATGTAAATGTAACAGACAATTCCCACTGAGATGTACCTGCAGGGAATCATGTTAGTCGTATTCATCATCTTGGACCGGATATTTGTTTTGATGAATACCACTACGTAACCATAATTCTCTCTGGGCA